TTCCTGTTATAGCTTTGACAGTGTGAGTGCTGCCTAACTGCCCAGGGCTCTAAAATTAGTGCAGGAATACAAGCAGAAGCAATGCTGTAGAAGATGACGAATGCATCCTTCTCAACTGAGAATGTAGGTAGTCTGTAGCTTTTCTGAAGGTGGGAGGAAGCATGAAATGTTAGAGCATCACACATCAATAATGTAAAGAAAATTCTGGAAAAAAGATGTAAAAGGTATGAAATTACTAATAATTGTGTTCCTATACTTTCAGAGAAAGCAGGGAAATAAACACACTACAAAATAAACACATAAGGTGTTCAGTCCCATGGGGAAAGAGGTAATGGCTTCAACAGAAAAATACAGTTAAAAGTTGTATATAACAATATATCGTGATTTCTTTAGTATCTATTTTAATGCTACATTAGAAAAGTACTTGATTAAAAGCCAAAAAAAAGGGAAAACATCTCACTTCCATGGATGTGGCAACATAGTCTGCAGCCACTGTTTCTCAAATCTCACTGTACAAGTTTACACCTTATAGGACCTCTCTTTTACCACTTTCAAAAGCAGTGTCTACAATGAGAGGAGGCATATCAGCTAAATCCAGGTTTAAGGGTTTTGTCCAGGATTTGGAAGCCCAAGGCTGTATTCCCAGCCCAGGTACAGGCTGTTCGTGGCCTTGGTTAAATCAGTGCAGGCAAGACCACGAGACAGACGTTCTTTAGAGTTCAAGCCCCTTCTCTGCCTGAGGACACATCAGCCTTGCTTCTCTCCAGGCATCTCTCCCTGGTCTACAACGCACAACAGAAACACAGACATTCACAGCAGCTCTGGATCTACCCAGAGACTGCACTCACAACAGGCTGCATGTGATCAATAAGCCCTGCAGGGACATGGTGCAGCGTGATTAAATACACTGCATAAGACGCTGCCTGCTCAGGGATCACAGTACACGCATGCACACGCGTCCTCCTACAGCTGCAATGCAAAATACAGCAGTGTCTACAGAACAGACTACATGAGGTAAATTTCCTATAAGCTACTCAAAGCCACTCCCACTTAAACTGAGACCCACATCCCAAAGCAGGTCTCAGATCTTCCTGTATTTTTAGGGAAGGGTTCTTAGCTACTCAGAGCTGTGGATCCTGCTACCTGACAAACCCCTAAACTCTTCCGTGCATCGTGACCACAGCACTCCCCTCTTTCCTCTTACTAGAGATATGCTGGGACATTTGAAGTTTGAGGCATGCATTTACTGTGGTAGTAGGAATTACACAAATACCTCACAGAGGATTTGGGTAAACCCGCTCTTAATTTGGGATCGTTGTCTCCAAGGAGGTTTTGGTATTTTTAAATGATCAACTAAAGTAGGTGGCTGAATACCAACAAAGGATTGATGATAACAGCCACACACAAACTTGACACTTTATCTTCTCCTTTATCAAAGCAAGTACCAGAGCAGTAATGAAGCCTCTATTTCTACATACATAAGAACTCCCGCTGACATAAATATGAGTTTAGGGTGAGCTAGAAATACATAAAAGTCATAGCACATTTCAAGCTGTCAACAGCAATTTGTGTATAACACTAAGTAGTGTGAAGAGACAGCCATAATCATTCCATATTAATTCAACTTGCAAGAAGATGAAGGTCAGGGGACAAAAAGCAAAGCAAAACTAAAATCAGTGCTTGTCAGATGGAAAAGGACAAAACCAGTTGGAAAATAATTTTATTTTTTCAGTCTTCTAAGAAAATTTACAAACAACAGTGGTGTAAAAAAAAAGACACCCTATAAAAAAGGTTGACATCATTTCTCAAACTATAGCATCAAATGAAATTACAGAGCAATCAGCATACAGTGAAATTCTATTCGTCAAATTAGTATTAGGTAAGTACTTGAAAAAGTAATAAGTCTAATAATAAACCTCTACAGCTTACTCAGAAATCCCATAACAATCCAACATTCTGAGCTTAAAATATACTTACAATACACAAAGAATTCATCTCTGCAATCACCTATAGCACTGAAATCACCTAGGCAAAAATTACATGGCAAAGGCACACCTTGTGAGGTTTGTTAAGAAGGACATCTTGAGCACACTACAATAACATACAAGAGAAAGCAAAACACCCTGCATGCTTGCTTATTAAACCCCAGTGTCTAATACGAAATACAATATAGAAATAACAGAAGCAGTATTTAGTGACTTCCTTCATGCTGGATCTACTCTTTGTTCAGAGTGAAACAGAAAGGCCTCCTTGCCCTGTTTTCCGTTTGAACCTTGGCACTTCCCCAGGGTATGGTCTCCCTATGTTCACCATCATCCTCGTCATTAGTGGAGCAGGTGGTTCGTAACCAAGTCAATCCCAATCACGAAGGCCACCACGCCTCTGCATATGCACATCATCCTCCTGCAACCTGGCCCCAACTCTGCACGTGCCAAACTCAAAAACACACAGGCAACGTGCACAAATCCAACCTCGATTTGCCAAAGTTTACATAAAGGGCAGAAAACAAACCAGTGCTGATAGCCTTTTTTTACTGCTGTGGACTTTCCTTTGTCCAGGTCACTTGCTCACTTTAAACAGTAGGCATTTAAAAACCATCAACACAATTTAATTAACAGCTTATCTTGAAATTGCAAAGGAACTCCAAACACTGGCACACTAAAGCCTTTTGAACATGAATTTGAATAAAAGTGAAAACCTGATGTCTTCATTAATCCATAAAGCAACTCCTCCTGGCTCTAACTACACCTTAAACTTATTTCTTGTGCTCTGAACAGAGTGAGAATTATTTTTTAGTTATAGCATGCAGATCTGTGCTTTCACTGTATTCATCGTGAGATAAGCCAAAGACAGGGTCCATCACATACTGCTAGAATGACTCATCTTGAAGGCTCAGGACAATGTATCAAAAGGTTATTTTTTTCTTTCAAAAGTAAAACCAAACCCATGAATCATTCAATTAAATGAGACTTCTTTCCCAAATGCTTACATGTGGGTAGGGGAAAAAAATAAAAAGATAAGAAGCAGATGTGCATATCCCATGCTAACACAAGAGTTAGTTAAGAGTGTTGCACCAATGCTTCTCTCATTAAATTTGTTTAAATACTGGCAATTCCTGAAATTCTTGCCAATTGATAGTTTTAGGGCAACTAGAAACCATGAAACCTGACTGCACTTTGCAATACAAGATGTGGGTGTGCGTGCTGTTTGGGTGAACAGGCAGTTAAAGAAGGAGTGACATAATTTAGCCTTTAATGTCTCTGAAGAGACACAATGGAGCACTTTTAGCTTCCTGTCTGCCACAAGATGTCCAAAGTAAACTTTGATAAATTCATGTCTAAACTGATAATTCCAATCACCCAGAAACATCTAGACCACATGAGATAACTTTAACTAAATTCTTTCCTTGCTGTAACAAGGAAAGTCATAAACTTGTCGTCTTGGAGCTTTCTGATCCCAGGGCAGCAGACACGGGAAGCCAGCAGCAGATATACCTCTGTGCACCCTGCACTGCAGAGAGAACAGAATTGGGCATCTGAATTTCAGGCCCTTGCATCCAGCCAAGATTTCAGAATTAGGCTAGAAGGCCAGCGGGGGCCTGGGGTGCAAGGAGGGTCCTGGAAGAACAACTGGTCCTAATGATCAGTGTAGTCACAACCTTGGCCTGTCACACCAGTACCTCCCTGCCTCCAAAATGCTGCAAGTACATGACAAAGTAGTGCCCAAGGTGCTGTTACAGGGGCTACATACACACCACAGGCAGAGAGCATTTTCTAGTTTTCAGACACATGAAGGAAGTCAATGAAATGCATGAAATACCTCATGAGAAGAAAATAATCCCTCAAGTTTGTAATATTTTAATTTTCCTTTCATAAGTTACTATACACTCAAGCCCTTTTCATAGCAGTGATTTATGTAATCCCACATGCTCAATTAAAATGTACACATTTCAATGGCAATACTTAATTCCTCCAACAAAAGTCTCTCGCTGAATCCCTGCTTTACACATTCCTTAATTTGAGCACTCCCTTTAATGTTCCCAGCCTTTCAACAGCTCACCAACACAAACACCTTTACCGTCTTCTAGTTTAGCAAACACGTTCATCAAGAACGTTTTCTCCAGAATAGGTAAAACCTGAAATATTTCCTCCATGCAGTGCACAATTAATGTATAAAGATTACTGCCATAAAGAGGCAAGAACTTAGCAGTGTTCAAAAAGAACTTACAGGAATATCAGTCATAGTAACGAATACTGGTAAATGTATTTAGAAAGACATCTGAACCGCCATGCTTAAGGTTTTAAGTCTTTATGTGACTGGTGATCAAAAATATTTTTTCCTGCAAATACACTGCTCTGGTAGCACATTACTAATGAGTTTTTGTACACCTCCTCTAAAGTTTGGCCAGTTATAAATGTAATTCTGGGTTATTTGATTGGCTATGGATTGCCATGCTAACTTGACTATCTTCTCTTTCCCCAGTGAGAAGCTTCATTAATCTGGCTTCTTGTGCAAGACATGGTCACACTACAATGATAAATAAAAGAAAAACATCAATAAAATAAAAAATAAATACTGTGGTCACCGAAACAGCAGCACATACTATTTGGCCACCCTTCTTTTAAAATATCAGCAGTAAGATAGATCAATGCCCTTAATACTAAATTACTATTATATGACAAATTTAGCCCTGTCATGTGCCTGTAAAGCTTCTGTCTCTGTCACTGTAAGCACTCACATACCCCTAAAACCAAAACTGGCCAATTTAAAAGTAATGACTGACGGCCTATATTGTTTAGTGTTTTCTTGATAAGGAACAGATTTTGAGAAAACCACGTACTAAGCCTCTCAACTTGAGCACAAACAACAAAATAAAGTTATTACCTGTTCAAATTATAAAGGAAACAACAGTATTTATGACTTGCAACTTAAGTCATTTTAAATCAATCATGCTCTATTAAATAAGGCTTGTTAGCATCTGCTCAGTGTTAGGTATTTACCTTTAGTCCACCACAGATTGGACAAGCTGAAAAAAGAGCTCTTGTCATCCCAAGGTGGGGGCTACATGTGTCATAGGGGTCAGCTGAGGCCCCACTAGGTGGTGACAACTCACTACTCTTGGAGTCTGTCACCTGTCCTTGTGGTTTTGTGTCTGACCACCTCGAAACAAAATCCACATATCTCCCATCACTTGAGTCCTTGCTGCTTTCTGCGAGTAAGGATGAAGGCCTCCCTCTGTCCTGGCTGTGCTCAGGTACCCTCCGTGCTTCCAACTGTGGTAGTAGCAGTTTTGGGTCACTAGCACCTTGAGGTGACACAGCCTGGTCCTTAGGTAGCGTGGAATCCGCACTCTTCTGTTGCACATCTCTAGAAGCTGCCTGTAACAAACTCCTGGGTATATCATAAATATGTCTGATAGAGCTGGGAACCTGATACTCTGATCCCGCGCCTCTGTGGGGCTCACTGTGAGGACAAGTACATAAATTCTGATCTGAAGGAAAGTTCAATGGCAGGCTTAGCAATGATCCAAACTCATCGCCGTGGCAAATGTCCAAGCTCCCAGCATAGGAAGAAAAGCTTCCAGAGTAAGAAGAGTGACTACCAGTAGCTATTCCGCTGTCAGAAGAACTCTGACGACCTATTTCCTGTAGCTGTCTGGATCGAAGGGGCTTTGGAGGTGGTTTTGTGGTGCCACGTGCCCCTTCTGGAAGGGTCTTTTCTTCCCCAAGATGAATGCCCTTTGCAGCTGCCAGTCCATGACTCTCTTGAGAAGTGCTGGCTGAAGACTGTTCAGGCCAAATTGTCAGTCTGCTCCCAACACTAACATCCGAGTGGCTGGTGTCTGAAGATGAGCTTGAAAGACTTCTATCGTCTCCTACAAAAGAAGAAAACAAGTCAACCTGTGTTTAAAACACAATCGACAGCCTGAAGCATGGCAAGTATGTACAAACAGAAAGGACTCTGAGATGCTGTCTGCTTTTTGTAAAGGGAACTTCTGTCAGAAAGCCAGAATTCCTGCAATAATTCCTATCCCCACAGGAAAAATAAAATGGAAGTAGTATGTTTCCTTGCCATAACCCTACCACATTGTGGAACATAACGCATTCAGGGCTAAATTTTTATAGTTTATGCACCAGGTTCTCCCCTTTTCAATAATATTTTACTTCCATACAGTTAACTGGTTTTATTTTAAATACTTTTGTCTTATATCACAAGGAACAGTCACAAAGTCCTATGCTCAGAATAGCTGGGGATGCTCTGAAAAAACCTTGTTACTGTAAACCAAAGCTATATAAGATATTTCCATGTCTCTATTTGGTCTGAATCAAACAAATTATCTTATTTGTACTTTTTTTCCTCTATTTAAAAATTATCTGAATAACAAAGTGAATGTTAAAGAGACCACAAAAATAAAATCAAACTTAAGACTGTCTTGTTCTTTCTTCTGATCTCTTCTACACTGTACTCCATAATATCCATACCAAAATGCAACTGTACTCTGTAACAAATAAAAACAAGAACACTACTATTATAAAAATGTTTACATATCCCTGCACAAGATCTTCCATGATTCATTTATGTACATATTGCAATATTTATTTTTTTCTCACCAATACCTGCAAAAAGTAACTATGACCATCCAAGACAGATAATGGAAGAGAAAACATTAAACATTGGCATGAAAGGGTATAAGGACAAAACACAATCACACAAACACATGCACAAAAACAAACAAAAAAACCCCTCAAACTACTTTACAAATACAGTCCACAATGTTATTTTCTTCCTCCTTAATAAAACCTATACAAAAACAAAGGCTGGCAGCATGATTATTTTGTAGGTAATAATTTTATTAATTTTAAACATTGGGCAATAAGTTGTCAGATGGGGTAGAAAGGGGAAGTGCCCACAGCAAATTGAGACCTGAGCTTCTGGTGTTACTAAACTATTTCTATTCTCAGTTTTTGAGGGAAAAGTTTAGAACAATGCTCCTGCTCTTCATAGAGTATTTCTTGATAGATACTATCACCAAATAGCAATGTTCATCCTGTGAAATCGAATCCTTTCTTTTCCCCCAGTGCCTGTTGCATGACACTGGCTTGTGACCCCTGCTTTAGTGTAACTCCTGAAATTAAATTATACAGCTGTCTAGACAGAAGGCACAAATTAAAAACTATTAGTGCAGTTTTTAGTAACACGCCCAGAAGAAGAAATATACTTGTTAAATAAAAGTTATTCTGCTTACAAAAAACCATATATTTTTAATTAAAAATAAGATTGTTGAACTTATTTGAAATCATTTATCTAGGACAAATATTTAGGCACTTTACAACTCTGGAAGGGAAGCCCTACCACAGCCTTGCAGAAAATGCTCTAAGTAGAGCTACATGTTCTCCAAGACAGTGGCAGAACCTAGATCTCCAGATTCAGGCAAATGTCGTCCCATCAAACCTACAGGGAGAGTCTTGATGTTATAACTTTTCCCATAAACACAAACATGTAATTCTCCTGTGCAAAACTCAAATAATGGAATCTGAAACTCTTACTCTAGGATTCCTCTTTCTCTGAGCCTTATAACCTTCTTAGGAGAATAAGGTAATAAAGTCAAGTAATCTCAAGCAGAGAATGTACATGAAGTCGAGCCACATGATTTTTAACTATAATGGCTGGATAAAAGAAGGAAAAAAAAACCAACAGGCATGCTTCTCTATCAAGTCTCATTTGTTTTCCATCAATCTTGTAAAGTCTAGTAGTTACACGCCAACTAAGAAAAACCTCAGGAAGTCTCAGTGGAATTTAGTCACAAACCACATTACTCAGCAATGTCAAGACTAAAGTAGTAGAAGCACATAATTAAGCTCCTGAGGATCTTCACATAGCCATTTTTAGGCTTGTAGGCTTTAGAGTCAAGAGTAAAGCAGATGTTCTGAGGATCTAACTTCTCTTATTAAGCAATTCAAATGGCAGCTCAGGGCATAGGTCCTTTTACAAATCCAGTGTTACACAGCAATTCTACTTTGATCCATAAACAACTCCAGAAGGGACATGCACAGATACCACCACAGAGAATAAGAGTCATAGCACTTAGAATCAAAGAACAGGAGTCCTAGGTTTTACTACAAAAACCTGCTGTAAGCCTGATGTGTGAACTATACGTCAAGTGCTTAAGCAGATACCAAATTTGATGGAGACAGTTCTTTTGAAAGTGCACATGCACAAATTCAGTAGGATTCAGCATACTAAAGGATTTTCCTGTGTTAACAGTGTTAAAAAGTAAAAGTCACTCTGCTCAGTTGAAAAAGTCCAATCTACATCCACGGACTTTTTAGATAACGCTGTTAAATATAGCCCTATAATTAATGGGCTTAATCAATTATATATTAATA